TAATTATAGCTTCCAATTATCTTGTAAGATCTAATGTGATATTGGGAGAAACAATATTGAATTAGGAAGTCGACGGCCGCAATTAGGAACGGGCCATTTTAACGCACGTGCGTTTATATCGCGTTTACATCCATTCTAAACTAATTACGACTGTTAAATGTCACGGTAACGACAAAACATCCGGCAACATTAAACGAGTCTTATTGCATAATCAACGTGAGAGAACAAATGGACGGGTGTCCAGACGCGACAAAAAAGGATTTCAGTATTCTAAGTCCCATGAGAGAAGATTTTACGGTTGAACGAATGAGGAACATTGTACCGCAGAGATTTAAAGGGATTTAATATTATTCTCTTTTCATATATAATTATTTCCAAATTAAACAGATTTCCGCTTTCCCGTGATATTTCTCAAAATGAAATTGTTAAAGGAAATTTTGAGGGATGAGAGAAGTTTTACGCTCGGACATGTATGTTCGGAGAATGAAGCGCCGGATTTTTTAAAACGACGCGCATCGCAACGAGTTAAAAGCGGATCGGGGCGTAACCGAGCGGACGAGATAACAGGATGGCGATTAATCTCGCGTTCTATAAAGTCGATACTCGTCAGGTTTTAAGGCCAGGTAAGGGATGAAGGAGAACGCGTACGGCGAATCCGTTTAGTAATTCAAAATTCTGGCTGTATAATTTGATTTAAAAGGGGACACGAGTAACGAGTGTTGTAAGCAAATAATCTATTTAAGCCCAAGCGTTATAACTAGCATTAAAAATCGATATTATAATAATAGAGACGATTGTTGTTTTTCCATATTTTTATCAATGTTTTTTTTGTTCTTTGAGGAGTTGAAAATAAAGCGTATCACAAAACATACGTCATTCAGACGTATCATAAAACGAGCTTTCATAAAAAAAGTTTTAACGGTAAAAATATATGGATATATTCTTTGATTATTTATTATGATTTTTATTTACGATTATATTAATACATGCTTTCTAACATGCATTTTTTTAAAATTGTTACAAATTTCAAGTAGTTAATAAAGTCATGATTTTTTTAATGATTTTTTTTTTATGCGAATATAAATCACAAGACTATACGCGTTACACATACGCGTTGTATTAATATTAATATTTTTTTATAAAATTGCACGTTTATTCAATTGAACGGATTGATCATTCGGACCGTATGCCCGTTACGTTTCAAATAAAAATTGTTGATTTTTCATCAAAATCCATTTCGTAGTCCTCATTTCCTCGTAGTTAATAATTACCAAGACAATGGAATAAAACATTCCATGTGTAAAATTAATCGTCGAGCATCGACGAAAACCCACATTATTAATTATTTATACAATGATACCGACACAATGCGTGCCTGATATTCGCGCACACGTGCGTGCATCGCATTGGAAATCCCTTATAAGCTATCGTCATAAATCCCAACGGAAAATCATTCATTATAGAGACAACTACGGATTAAAGGAATGCGTAATTGCAAATTTTGATTATAATTACACCGACGCTGCGACGCTTAACATACGCGCGAAATATATTTTAATCAATTATTAAGCGACAGTGACAGACGCGATAATTACGATACGTTAAAATAATGTGTTCCTTTCAGTAATGCTCGCATTATAAAATTTCATTAAGAGTGTCACGGTATTCTTGCTTTTTCGTTACAATATTTCATAATGGGAAAGTGTTCTTTTATTATGGAGACCTCCAACTCGACTTCCATTTATTTATGCCATTTACATTCAGAAAATTAAGTCGTTGAATAGAACATTGATATCAGTTGGTTTTTATTCCAAGAAACAAAAGGACTTTTTTAAGGAACGCTTGAATTTTGAATTTTTTAACAATTTAAAATCCAGCTATTTTATCATAATCCCTTCTTCTGAAATTGTGAAGAAAAAAATTGTAAAAAAAGTTCTCGCGAAGGATTTTATCCTGTGCAACAAAGTATCATATTCATAAAAAATAATGAAGTATGAAGTATATTCGGACTGGTATATTATTTATTATTATTTATTTGTATCAGTGTATTTTATTCAAGGATTCATCATGTGACTAAAGAAAATTAAATAAAAGTTTAATATTTTTTTTTTTTAGTTCGTAGGAAAGTGCACTTTCAAGTGCACTTCAACTTTCAATTTTTTTCTCGAAAAGCCTTCGGCGTTTTCTGGGAAACTATCTATTTGATCGTAAGATGTATCCTAACGTGGAATGTTATTTGAAAGTTTCTCGCGACGTTGAAAATAGTCGCTAGAGGTGATCAAGTTCTCTACCGACTATACCGAATGGCTGCAATGTCGAGCAAATATTGGAAAGCAAGTAAAACGCGAGAGAAACCGTGCCTCGGAGAGTCGAAAACTAAACATAACGGTTCACCCCAATGTGTGCGATTGCAGTCGAACCTTTTTGCGTTGTGTATTTTCCCTGGAATGTGTCGAACTGGTCGATTCAATTGCTTTAACAATAGGTGGTTACAGGGAAG